ACATAACGTTTGCACAAAAATGTCAAACGTTCGACTCAAAAATATCAAAACAATGTATTTACAAAGACAGTATCTTATCAATTAAACAGGTGAGAGTTAAGAGAGGCATTTCTACTAAACAACAGTTATTTATGTCTGACCCCAAGTAATTGATTTGCTAATGATACCCATCAAGTCCGTTAAACCTTATGCTGTAGTTTCAGACTATAAAGGTCTTCGTGTTATTTACACTAATAAAACATTAATCAAGGACCAAATTTATAGCAGCTACTCTATAAATGAGGTCAAGGCAGGTCAGACTTACATAATAAGAAAAAAAAAGGTTGGTCTCTCCAGTGAAAAGAAAAACCTTATTACTTATTCTTTTAGCCCCTGGGATTAAGTCCAGTAGCTGAACACTGGAAACTACTTCACTAATATATCCATCACTATGTAAACTCACTTAACCTCAATGTATTGGATTATTTATAAAAGCCAAGCCCAATCCACTGATTTTTTTTTTTAAATCCTAAACTGTTCCTTTAAAATATATTCTAACCTCTAAGGAGATAACAAAAATTTCAGATTCTACATCTACTGTTTCATTAATGGATGTTAGCTGTCTTTCCACCACTGCTTATTGCTTACATTTACTTAAAAGACAAGGCTTAACACTCTCTATAGGCTAAGGACAAAAAGACAGTTTCTAACCACAGGAGGATAACAAATTCATACAAACTAAGAGAATCTTAGGCAAAAACACGGGGAAAGGGTATTAGAAAACCTATGATCACAAATGATATAAAAACAGATTATTAAAATAACTGTTTCCTCAGTAAGAAATAATAAGAACCAGCTACTCTGGGTAAGGATATTTGAAAATACCTTAAAAGAATTCATTTCTTCACAAAATATAGAGATGTTTTATTATAAATACTTCTCTCTATATATATATATAAATATACGTGTGTGTGTGTGTGTGTGTGTGTGTATAAATATATAAATAAATAATTTTCCTTTCTCTTGGTAAAAATCCTCAAAGAAATATCATAGCTACTATCAAGATTTTCTGTATAAAATAAATTTATGTTTAAGAATGTTGTTTACACCAAAATAACAATAATTGAAATCAAAACTATACATACAATGTACTTGCAAAGACAATACTGTCAATTAAACACATTTACTTAACTTGCAGGGCACTTCTACTGGAGTCAGGGACACATCCATAAACCAGAAACAAAGGGATTACCCTTCCAGAATATAACACACACATTACAGGAGGAGAAAGACAATGAAGATAGACATGAAAGGACAGTAAGAAAAAAACAATTTAAGAAATGAGGTAAAAGCAACCTGGTGGCAGGTTTCAGGCAAGCCCCCTCTGAGGAGGTGATAGATATCTGAACTAGGATTCCAATGAGAAGAAACCAGACAAGAGGTAATCTGGGGGTGAATCTTCTGACTGTGGTAGAAGAAGGAGGTCAACAAATCCTCCCCCAGAAAAACAAGAATGGAACTGAAGACTAACAATCATTTCAGGGTTCTTAAAATCTGTAATAATTTTACTCACGGAAGTCTGCTAAATACTGAGTAAGAACAAGTAGAGTCTGTGGCAACCTTTTCTGGGAAGGCCCTGCTCAACCACCACAGACTGTGGCTACTCATGGAAATTGGCAACTTCATTGACAGGGAGAACCGACTTGCTTTGGGAGGCAGGGCAAAAAGCCATAAACTGAAAATAGGAAAAGCCCAGAGCTGTCCTAGACTGAGATTATTTTTGCAGTTAGGGTGAGCCGGAGATAGTGGAACAAACCAGAAACTCAAAAGGGATATCTTGAAAATAGGAATTTCACACATAGACAGTACAGATTTGGAAAAAAATGACAGAAGTCAAATCTACCCCAAAAATTGTTGTCAAACAAAACACAGGTCTACCAGGTATAGGTGGCCAAAGGCTTCAGTGAAACTTCTGACCATTCGCTGACCTCTAAGCTACAGAGAAAGGGGCAGCCCCTGAAAAGCCAGAGTAAAAAATAAAAAGAAATCTCGAAAGAGCTAAACAGCAACATTAATAGCAATATACCACAACAGAGACAAATTGTGCAAATTAAGCCCTAGCAAGTAACTTAAAAATCAACAAAGCCAAGTCTAGTAATTATTTTTAAAAATTATACACTATGATCAAGGAGGAATTATCCCAGTTATACAAAGCTGGCTCAGTATTTCAAAATCCTACTGATTCTTACCTCCTCTACTGCTACTATCCTAGACCTGGTCAGCATCCTAGTTAACGAGGATCAGGGTACTACAATAGCTCCCTAATTCATCCCTTCACTCCTGTTCTTAAAGTCCTATATGCGTTAGCCAGAGTGATCTTTCAGAGTGATCTGTAATGCATCAAACAGATCATCTCCCTCCTCTACTCACAGTCCTACGAAGGTTATCATTTCTCGTAAACTGCAAAGGCTCCACACAAAACCTCGCCCCATGTTAATCATCTCTCTGACCTCAGTTCTTACTTCTTTCCACTTTCATCACGTTTTTATCGCTGTATTGGGCGCATTCCTCAAATGCACCAGGAAGCTTTCCCCTGCACACTGACTGTTCCCTAGACCTGGAAAGCTTTTCCCCTACATGCACCATGGTTAACTCTTTGGCACCCTTAAAGCACTTGCTTAAAATCACTTTCTCAGGAAGCTCTAATCTGACCGTTCTATTTAAACTGCAAAGCATGACAACCCTTCATACGTCCTTCAAAAATCTCCATTCCCCTCAACCTGTTCCACATTATCTTTTTTGACAGTGCTTACCATCTTTCACATGCCATATAACCCACCTATATCATTTACTGTTTAAAGTCTGTCAATGACTGTTCGAATGTAAAATCTACCAAAAAAAACAAAGATCTTTATCTATTTTGCTTATTGCTCAAAGCAAAGCCACTTAGCATCAAAGATAAGCCACTGTACACAGTGCCTTAAAAATACTGGCTGAATGAAAAATAAGGAAATGGAGACTCACAGGAGTAAAAGCACTTTTCAAATATCAAAGGGCTAATTCAAAGCCAATGCTGTTAATCACAACGCTATGCTGCCATAGCTATTCAATGTAACAGTTACTTGCACAACTGAGGGAATTTACATTTGGAGCCTCTACTGATCAAAATCAACTTTTATAACACGTTTTCTTTTAAAAAAAAGAACCAAGGATTTCCTTTAAACAAATGAGCCCTACAAACTACAGAAAACCTGTCGACCAGTGTTCTGCATTAAGCAGAGCAAGCACGTGTTGTTCCATCAACAGCTCTCTCCATCTCTTTTCCTACGTAGAACCTTTAAAAGCATCCGACACCTCAGTGTTGAAATTCAGCCAAAGAACTATTTATTTTCGATGACTAAGCACTTTGAAATTTTTGCTGAAAGTAATATGAAATTATTAGTCATTCACTCATTGAGAACTATGTATAGATTTCCTACCACGTGCCAGACTCCAGAGTGCAGTGTAACCCTGCTTCTCACTTGGATCACTGTGACAGACTCGATCCTGTCGTTCTGGATTCCAATCAGCTCTCCTCCCCTTCATCCATCCCCAACAGTTCTGCCACTTATCTTTCCAAAACCAAACTATCGCAAATACATTCCTTTGCTTAAAATCTCCCAAGACTTCCCATCACCTTGAGATGAAAGTCCAAATGTGTTACATTAGGCCTTTCAGCATCCAGACACGCTCAATTCTATCCCAACATCCACACACACACACACACGTGTATGTGTGTGCACAGACAGACACACGTCTCTCTCAGAGACGCACTTCAATATTCCACATACCTTCCCCCATCACAGTGTACTCAGACATTCTGTTCCCTCCATTTGGAATGCTTTGCACGTTCCCATCCTCCGATTTAGTCCTGATCTCCACTCTCAAATATCTGCAGCGTTAAGCCTACTCAGCCCTGAAAAGACATCCCTAGAATCATGCTCCCTGGGTAAGTTTGACCTAATTCCTCCACCCTAAATGGTCTCTTTTATTCTCATTACTACCTTAGTAACTTAATTATTTCTAACACAAAATTTATCATAAAGCATTATAATTGCAGGCTTATTTATGCAGTTCCAAAAATAGTCTCTGAGCAACTACAATTATTTGCTGAAGAATTTTAGTAGCATTTAATATCAAATAAAATTCATAGTACCCTTTTCCCCTTTTTTGCAACACTAACAAGATTCCTAATTATGACTCAAATCGTCCCTGTAGTGATGGCATCAGTCTCCACACTAGCCAGAACACTATAAAGAAACATTCCTCAATGGTTTTGCTCAGGATGCCATTTCTATTAGCAGCCATCATACCTCTTATTCTACACCTTAGGTCTTCAGTTCAATTAATTCAAAATCACAAAACGCACAAAGCAGTCTATTCATCATTTCCCTAAATTTACTTTTAGCTTTCCGTATTCTCACTCTCTTAAATCTATTTTCTCCCCGTATCTTTCTTTTCATCTCTGTACTTTCTTCATTTTAATTTCCTACTACTATTTTTTCCTTCAAGTCTCGTATCTCTGCTCTTTACATGCAACCCTACCCAGTTTCCCACTCTCTCCACGTTCTCATCACATCACAACACAAAAACTTCATCCCTCTCTCCCTTATGACCAGGCCATGACATAAGAGATAACATAAATATCTTAGTCTAATTACTGGCTTTGCAAATTTTGTATAACAGAACTTAATAGGAAGTCCAAATAAGTATCAGTTTTCCTTATATCTGCTAATAGAATCATCAATTTACTTTTGCTAACTTCAGCTTCACTTCCTGAAAAATAAGACTAGAACTTTATCATTAAGCATGTAACCATAAAGAAAGCCAAAGATGATTAAATATTGACCTATTTGTAAAAATCACTATCTTCTACATTACTGACTACAAAAACAATAAATATACTACCAAAAAATTATCAGTGTTAATGGCAAAACTACAGTAGATTTAAAGTAAAATAGAATGGATATAAAATAGATTACCTTCCTTCATTGACAAGTTCAATAAAAGCAAGGCCTGCATTCTTCTGAATAGAATTCTGCCACTCCTAAAAAATAGCAGAAAATAGCTGAACAATTTTCACTTAGTAACTTACTTCTTTAAGACAACAATTATTTAAAAATCACACATTTCAATTTCATCACTGTTTTTAAAAGTAAAAGCTGTGTTAAACATGCTGCCTAACCAACGCAGCCCCATGAACACACAAATGGCTGATATTGAAAGTAAACTGGACAAGTTGGCAAGGATTTGATTCTACAGAAACTAAATAAGCCTATCTACATTTATCTTGTCCTTTTTGTTCTGTAACATCATATACCACTAAATTAAATTGTGGACTTCAGAAAGAAGTCCCCATCACCCCATCACCCCAAATGAAGGGAACACATAGTTAGTTAGTAAATAAACATAATAATTAGTGCATATTCTACATAAAAATTGATGATTAATGACTGAGAAAGAGACAAGAAAAATCAATGAATTTGGCTAGAAAATGTTGACCTAGAAAACTATAGTTCACTAGCCTATAAATTAGCAAAAAATAATATAACTAGCTCTATTCTTTACAAATAGATTATCCATTAAAAGCCTGGGGGGGGATCAACCAGTAAACTATGCACAAATAATTTTTTTTTAATTTTCATATCAAAGTATGTACAAAATAAGTGTTACTACAACCATGGTAGGCCTACCTGAATTGACATATAGCTAGATTTGAGAAATGACAATGTGTGTGTATATGCAAATGTATGTATTGTTTTCAAGAATTGGAAATATATACAAAATCTTTAAGCTCCTTAAAACAAGAAGACCCTTATTATCTACCTACATGATTTTCCTCAACTGATCTTTTTCTGTTCTTTTATAAAGCTCAACACAAAAGACAGTGTTGGGCTACTTACCACTGCAACCATAACCTGCATTCACACTTTCTGAATGTAGCACCTTTAAGAGTTTTAAATTCCATGTAATTTCACCCCTGATGACTGTTCTCCCTCATGCCAAATTTCATTTTTTTTTGGCCTTACCCTTTCTCTTCTACTTTCTCTTTTTTTATATCCAATTTTGTATTACTTTCTATTATGTTTTGAAAACCAGAGGCAGAAGTCAAATGGCTATATGCTATAACTTTGTTATAGGGTTCTAGTTCATGAACGGTGTAAGAGCACACTAACAGAACATGCACAGTAGAATGGAAATTAGATAGTCAGTCAAACAACCGAGAGTTGTAATTGGCTATGTCTAGGAGAGGAAATCAATTGTTGTTGAAGAAAGAGCACTGAACACAAAGGCATGAGATCTATGTTCTCAACCTGACTCGGCCACGAAGAGAGTATGTCCATGGATGCATTCACTTGACATGTTTTTGTCTTAGATATGCCCTTGAAATTTTCTTCAGCTTATGACTCAGTAACTCAGAAATATCTAGAAATTAGTGACTCACAAGGTTTACTATACTCTGTCAAAATTCACAACTGCCAACCAACTGAAATAAAATAGTGATCTTGTATTTCTGAGGTAAACCAAGTCAAGAACGAATAGAAACACCTAATTTAAAAATTCTTTTCATTCTAGGAAAATAAAATAGACAGATGGTAGAAAAAGAAAGCAATCAAGTTCCATGAAGAAGCACATCCCAGAGAGAAGAGCATGAGTCACATCCTACACTTTTGTTAGGAAAAGGAAGGAGTGAAAAAAGAGCAGAGACCAAAGGTATGGTTTTGGATGGTGGTGCAGAAGATCCCACACTTCACTGCCCAGGCAGGACACAGGGAGACAAAAAATCTCAAAAAGTTGCCCTAAACATAGCAATGCACAGGAATAGGACAGAAACGGACCTAAAACAGCCTTGAAGTATCCCATGCCCTTGGAAGAGTCAGAAAACAATTCTAGAAAGATATACAAGCAGTTGAGGCTTGGAGGGCATGAGGAGAACACACCCATTACCTTTGTTGACAGACAGCAGGGAATCAGAAGGGACAGTGATAGCTCAAAGGATGCCACAGTCAGGGAACAGAAGCAGCTACTCACGCCTCAGCTCTGACACCACACACCGCACTCTGAGCAGGTGACTTGGAAATCTGATACAGCACCAGATTATGAAGAGGCCAGACCTTAAACTGACTGAGTTTTCATTCAGATCACTTAGGTGAGAAAAACCTTAAAATGGAAGCCAACTTTAATAAAAAGTTACTTTTCTTGCTAGAAAAAAAAAATCAGGAAAAAGGCAAAAGGATATCCTACATATAGTTCTTTAGATCATACATCTTATACTTAAAAGATTTACTAGTATTATTTGTCTCAAATAACTTTTGTCTGATCTAAAACTCTAACAGGTGAGGATCTTTACTATGTAAATCACATAAAATTCAAAACTCTACATGGGTAAAATAGATAACAGTGGAAAGTCTAAAATTTAATAGGTAAACATCAGTTTGATTTTATTGTCATTTATGTATACAATAAACTGACTTTTACTTATAATGTAAAATCAGGAAGTGTAGCATTTAAATTTCACAAAAATTTGAAACAGCATGGTTAGAACAAATATAAAACTAGTAAAAGTTGGTGTAACTTTAAAAAATTTGCAATCCAAAAATTTTTATGACCTAAACTTAACTTCGTATGTCACACAAAACATTTTAACTTAAAAACAAATTAAACATGGAGGAGCATATAAAAGAAGAGTCCAACTTTTTATAAAAGCTCAGAAACAAAAATTCATTACTACTAATGCATTAGGCTTCTTGTTTTCCCAGCATTATCTATAAACCCATATCTGTTAACTTATAGTAACTGCTATCTAATCACCTGGAATAAAACTTTTCACTAGTTAAAAAAACATTAGACAAAATGAGAAGTGAAGTGATTATATAAATCTTAGTTACACATTTGGGTACTGTTAAAAAAATCTCCGTTCTCAAAAATATTAGTAACTTTTAATTTATCTGTAATCCATTCCTAATTATAAATTATTAACATATAATAAAATATATAGGTACATAAATACATGCTGATAATTCAGACAAAAAGAAAGTGAAGCCCAAGAGAATAGAAAATTAATTTTTTAAATAAACCTAGCTGTTAGTCAAAGCCAAGTGTTCTCCATACTAAAACACTATCTAGAATTCTAAGGAAGTTGCCAAAACTAGAAAAATGACTCATTAATCGTGCCACCTTAATGCATTTTCTCCACTTCTGAGATAATTATCAAACAAGGCGTTAGTCTAAACAATTTCATAAACCACAGTTCAATATAACCTTTAGTGAGTTTTAATAGTTGAAAGAAAATCTTAATGATTATCGTTTTTCATGATCATTTCAATATTTCATCACAGCATTTACAATTATATAGTGATGCAAAATGCATAGTACATTTGAAGGTCTTGGTTATTCTCATCCCAGAGGTACTGAGGAAAAACACGTTAAAAGCCTCAAATCTAACCACTAATGCAACTGAGTAATTTCAAAACACATTTCAGCACTTCAGAGAGGAAGGACTCAAAACACAGCAACTGAGTCAATAATTTCATACTTTTTCTAAGCTGTATTTAATTGACTATCACTCCCTATGGCCGTAATTGTTGACTAGTCAATTTTTACTAAAATATACTCTTAGCTTACTAATGCTCTTAAGTCATACAACAACAACATAATAGTATACATTAGTAACATTATTAAATACACAAAATTCCACCGAATTTCAAGTATGTACATTTGGTGGTAAAAGTCTGTTCTGTTGGTTGGAGGGAAAATGAAAAAACCTTCATTAACAAAATTAAGTCTATTTCCCCACCATCAACAAACAAAAAGAGAAAAGGGTACAAATTAAAGTTCTGTATATTAACTTACATTACTTATATTGATATTTAATTCTAACACCCTTAAAGTGAACTTGACACTTTTCTATAAACTCAATAATCTCTTACAATATATTTTAGTGTACTGAAGGCACTACATGAATTTACCTAAAATTTAAAAGTAATTCCCAGTGTTATCACGCCCTAAAGCCAATAAAATCAAGCCACAGAATGACAAAGACTACATATATTCCATTCTATCGCCTTTTATTTTGGAGGTGAGGTTCAAGTCATAAATGTATCAATTTATATTCCGGTGGGCTAGATAGTCACTAAACTATATTTTAGTCTTAAAAAAAAGAAATATAATCAGTAACTTCAGGTTAAACATAGCATAAAACAAGGAGACAACAGTGTAAGAAAGTGAGTAAAAAATTTCTCTGCAACCTGGAGGGAAATCATCTTGAGGAAGCAAACCAATGCTTGCCGCAGAACCCTCCCAAGGCCAAGATCAGAAGCACTGAGTACATCTGAGGATGGTTCAGGGACAGGGATGAAAACACATGAAATGACTGAAAGCTGGTATAAAAAGAGAGAGTCCCACATCCTCTTCCCCGTAATGCATGGCCATTGCCAGCATGGTACAAGATTGAAAGTTTACTTTCCAGAGGGTAAACATCTAGCTACCCTAAAAAGCCTTAGTTTTAAAACATGCAGTAATTTGAAAGTATACTTACTGAACTATGAAACTCTATGCAAGATTAAAGAAGTTTTTTCTAAGAATAGTGAGAAGCCATAATAAAACTTAAGTGCCCATCAGTGGCAAAGATAGGTTATTCATTACCAGTGGACAACTCTCAAAGACACACAATTCTTTTTTTTTATGCAGTACACTTAAATATGGCCAGACAACAAAGTGTCACCAGTCATTAGAGGAAAGACTCAGGTGAATGACGTACAACAAGCAAATAAACTGGAAAAAGAAAAGGAAAACCTCATAAAAAATACAGAGTATTGTTAATATGGTAGAGAAAGACTAAAGAAAAGTATAATTAATACCATCATAGAGATTAAATTTTTCATGTAAAAAAATCAGGGCAGAGATTTTGCTTTATTCCCTAGTAATTCTCTGCTCCCACATCAGAGTTCTCTACAGAAACAAAACCAACAGGATGGAGAAACATATTTTATTTGTTGTAAGGAACTGGCTCACAGAACTATGGATGGTGAAAAGCTCCAAAACCCG